GTGTGTGTGTGTGTGTGTGTGTGTGTGCGTGTGTGTGTAGGAGAAAATGAATGGATTGTACCACCTGATTAAGAAATATTTACCATTCTCACAAGCTGATCATTTCATTTAATTTCTAGAAAAGCAGCTGTTGTAAGGCACAGAAAGTTAGTGATCCATGAAGCAAACCCAAAGTATTTGGTATGCAATAGAAATCAGAAATAACCACTAATTAACAGGTGATATATTCTGATGGGAGATTGTTCCGTGGAAATGCACAGAACTGTGCCATCTGCAGTTTTTTGATGGATTAGAGCTCTCTGCCTCACCATTTGAATGACACCCAGACCATGCTATTCGAAGAGACTGCCTCAACCAGAGAATCAGTTCAGCTTGTAAAACGATGTATCAGGACCTAAACTGAGTTTATGCCTTGGTCTAAAGTAGATCTAAGCATACAACACCTCCAGTACTTGCTGCTGTTTAGAAGTTTGCTTTTTTTTTTTAAAGGACAGGTGAAAAGGAAAGATAGCAGGATGAAAACAGGAAAAGAAAGAAATAATAATAGAGAGAGGGTGCAAAATAAACAAAGGGAAGGGAACAGAACTCAAAGTAAAACCATTTAAAAGTGCATCTTATATCAGATTTAAAGATAGGTTGAAATGGCCAGGTACAAAGTATCCTACTTTGGACACATTACGTGAAGACCTAACTCTCTGGAGAAGGGAAAGATGGAGGGAAAGAGAAGACTAGGATGATCAGCAGCAAGGTGAATGGACTCAGTTACGGTGGCAATGAGTGCACCGTTGGGAGACCTGGTCACTAAGAGTCGACACTGACTTGATGGCACATAATCAATCAGTCAATCAGGACTGAAAATGCTGAAAGCCACCTATATAAGGCAACATGACTAGGCACTCAACAAAAGTTGCTTGCAGGGCTAATGTGGAACACTAGCTTTTCAGCATCACTTTAAACTTCTGTCCCTTCTCTGCTATAAATCAGATTGTTCACACTAAATGTGCTCAGGACAGGACTGTTGAGCCAGCTCGACTGCCCACCAGCACCTGCATAGTAATTCATCCTGGAGTGGGACTGAGAACTGAGTTCAAATGCTGAAGCTGGGTTGCCATTAGAAGGAGAGCAGGAGTTCAAATTGGGCTCATTCTGTCTCCCAGGTGTGAATTCAGATACTGGCCCACCAGAAAGCTGTCTAGGGACACCATTCCGGCCATGGGCCACAATGTTCATGGTCGAGACAAATGTGGAGAAACAATGGCTAGAGTCCAGGCTGGGGGATTTGCAGTCATTCCTAGATCTTGGAGAGCACTGCAGCTCACCAGAGCCCAAGCTGTGAGGTTTGGTGGCTTCCTGAACAAGGCGACTGCTGCTTTTGCCCTCCATTTTGTTATGGGCTCCAGGCCCACTAGCTGCATCAGATCGTCTTTTCCTCTTCCTTCTGAAGTTGCCGTTATCAAACATCTTCTCACAGTTTGGATCCAGGGTCCAGTAATTCCCTTTACCTATGAATCAATGGAGAACATGTGGGTTTAACAGGGGCATGCAAACTCTATCTAGAAAGTGAGACACTTCTGAATAGTCAGGGGAAATGGTTCCAAAATGGGGGAAGTAATCAGAGGACACAAAGCAAAGAAAGTGGAGCAGGCTTCACCTAAGATCACCTCAAGAATTCATGGCAGAGCTGACATTCAAGTACAGGACTTCCCGATTTATGGAAGCTTTAGCCATTGCACTACACTTGGGCCATTTCCTCAGTTGTGATTTATAGTGTCACCCAGTCATGGCTGTGGTGACAAATCACTAATGCAGACAGATTTTATATCACCATAGCAATGGATCAGTGACAGTATAAGCAGAGATAACCACACGAAATGACCCTATGATTGTACAGTTCACACTAGTGGCATAAGGTAAAGTTAACATGTCCTTGGAAGATCCATCAGTTGCTGCTAGGAGCTTGGAGAGACAGCAAGACAGAGATGGACCAAACAATATTTTCATTCTTGGCTGCAATCTTACCCACAGTAACCTGAGAGAAAGCACCATTAATTAGAATAGGCTTGGGTGAACAGGTGTAGGACTGCACTGTAAGCAGGCTTGTTACATTCCCCATGTCTAGAATATAATGCTTAAGGTGGCATATGCACTCATCATAACATTTTCAATGTCGGTTACATACACCACGCTGCCATATACGCACAAATCAGGAGAAGAGCCTCAGAGGTGTTTTTAGAATTCGCACCATTATTTTTACTCTGCTGTAAAAAAATAAGTTTATATAGACCCTTTCTCCAAAGCTGCATCCTTATTAGTCTATTCAGAGTGGAGAATGTATAAAGAATGGAATAGCAAAAGTTGCCAGCTCGCTAAAATAATGATGATTAGACAGTATTTGTTGTAGAAATTAATGCAGCTGTAGATTATTAGTTTTTAAAAGCTGAGTGGGAGTCATATGGATTTCATGCTTGCGTTCAGATCTTAAACAATCTGCAGATAGTCCTGTGCTACTATGTTCAACAGGTATGACCTAGTGCCACTGACTTCAGCGGAGGGCAGCATTTCTCAGTTCGGAAAACTGTGAACTGTTCATACAACTGTATTCTTCTGTGGAACTGCAAGCAACCTCTACGTGCTCAAAACGACTTATTTTCTAGTGTGCTCCACCCTAAACTTTGTATATTCACATCTTACATGTATATGTGGGCGTGTATAATTTAACAATAAGTCTCACCATGTCCAGTGAAGGAAAGTAGTTCTGTGCAGTTATCATTAATGGCAAATCAATCTACACTGTGAGTGGGGTGTAGCAGATAAGACCGGGGAGACCCTAGCTCAGGTTCATCCTCATCCTCAGCCCCGGACTGACTCAGACTGGTGACTTTAGGACCATCACTGTCTCTCAGTCCTACTGCACAGGGCTGTTGTTGCCAAGGCAGAGGATGTGATCTGCATAGGAAAGGTGGGATATAAAAATCTAATAAATCTAGTAGATAAATAATCAAACATTCCATTTCCAAGCATCCTAACTGGATTTCAGTAGAAATATTTAAGGCTAGAATTCAGGAAAAAAAGTGCAAGCTTTCCAGGTCTCTTTGTGATTTTATGAACTAGGATGGCATCTGTGTAAAGGTCCCCTAACCTTAACTCCAACCCCAACCCCAGATACTCTTTCAGGCAATACAAGTTGGTTACAAAGCATCTCACATATTGTGAGGAGATGTTGCAGTACAAAATTAAAAATTAATACTTTCTGTGTACTGGCATCCAGCTGAAAAGAGGAGAAAAGAGAATAGTTTGGGACAACAATTTTAAGTTTAAACAACTGTTAGCAGCTGTGTTCAGAACTTCCAGGAAGACAAATATATGTTACATGTATATTAAATAGTCCAGAAATATTAATTTATTCACTAATTCATCCAGAATATAATAGTTATATTTTAATTCTTTATTCTCAGTACTTCATCATTGTTTAGATTTCTCACTCTGCACACTGATGATAGCTTTTTAACTACTTGCTTGGGAATATGATGGGATTTTAAAACACCCATAGGATCTACACTGGGTTGGTGCATTTCAAGATAAACTTTCACATGAAATTCTCCTTCTGCAGGCTGGCTTTGCAGATCCTGGGAGCTGTACTCTAAACACCTGAAAAGTTCTTGTCCTTCTGGATTAATGGGGGATAGCAGAAGGTGCAATGGCTCCACGTAGATGGCCAGACGTACTTCCGAGGACACTCGCTCGTGGGGCTGCAGCCTAAGCAGGCCTTGGGTTCCCCCCGACGAGCGTGCAAGGGACAGTTAGTCAGACACCCATTTCCACGCGTTTTACATCCCGCCCAGAGGGAGAATGAGGAGAACGGCGGGGGGGAGTCACAGAGGGCGCCGCCCCGGGGCAGGCGCGCGAGCCGTTCCGCCAGCCTTCCCTACCTGGGTCGTCCTCGAGCCTCGGCACCTTCTTGAAGCAGTCGTTGAGGGAGAGGTTGTGGCGGATGGAGTTCTGCCAGCCGGCCTTGCTCTTCTTGTAGAAGGGGAAGTTGCCCGCCACGTACTGATAGATCTGGCTCAGGGTGAGCCTCTTGGCCGGCGCGCTCTGGATGGCCATGGCGATCAGCGCCGAGTACGAATAGGGAGGCG